CCGAGCTGCTGAAGAGACACACGTGCACAGACCTGGGTGAACTGCGCAGCTACCTTGGCTTGCAGATCACTCGGGACAGAGCACGCCGCACCATTACCTTGACTCAGTCCCACATGGTGCAGCAGGTCCTTCAGCGCTTCGGCTTCACGTACTCCTCGCCTCAGGCCACTCCTCTGCCTACTCGCCATTCGCTCTCAGCTCTTCGTTCGGATGAGTCCGTAGAGCCGAGTGGCCCGTACCCAGAGCTTGTCGGCTGCCTCATGTACCTGATGACCTGCACACGACCTGACCTCGCATACCCTCTTAGCATTCTTGCACGCTTTATTGCTCTTGGGAGACACAGACCGGAGCACATAGCTGCAGCGAAGAGGGTGTTGCGCTACTTGTGCAGTACGTCATGCATGGGGCTTGTGCTTGGAGGGCAGAGTCCAGTGGTCCTCACTGGGCACGCAGACGCTTCTTGGGCTGACGACCAGGCTACGCAGCGGTCGTCACAGGGTTACACCTCCAGCCTTGGTTCCGGCTCTGTTTCGTGGCGGGCTACCCGCTCGTCTTCTGTTCTCGGCTCCAATTGTGAGGCTGAGATCTACGCCGGGGCCATGGCTGCACAGGAGCTTCGCTGGCTCACCTACCTGTTGACTGACCTCGGAGAGCTGCCTCGTTCTCCTCCAGTGCTGTACGTAGACAACAAGGCCATGCTGGCCTTGTGTCGAGAGCAGAGACTGGAGCACAGAACGAAGCACACTGCTCTCCGCTACTTCCTTGCTCGTGAGCTACAGCAGCGTGGTTAGCTGCGTCTTGCGTACGTGGCCTCTGAGGCCAACACTACTGATATCTTCACCAAGGCGCTTGCGCCTTGTGATCATCAGCGATTCTGTACTCAGCTGGGTCTTGTGCCTACTTGGCCTCACTTGCTCACCTCTTCACCTTGCTTGTACTGTTACATATATATATACACCTGCTCTTGCTTGTCTATCCTTTTTATATATATATGTACTCCTGCATGTGAACTGGCCTTGTGGCCTTGACCTTGTGCTCGGAATGTGTGGTGACTTTGTGATCCACCCTGAGCTTGCTTTGCTTTGCTTTGCTTGACTGATCTTGTGACCCCTTGTACTCCCCCACTTTGCCTATGCGGGTGTGTCAGAACATTATAGCTTATGCTTTTGTGTAGGCTGTAGTGGGGTAGCCTATATGGGGTACAACCCAATTAGGGTTAGTACTTGTACCCAACTCTTTCATACTGCATTCATTCTCGTTCATTTTCACAGTTCTAATTCTATTCGGTGGTCATGTGCTCGCTGAGGTGGCAGTCCCTCAGGTAGATATCCTCGGGTATCGTTCCAACAGTTCCTGTAGTTCGGGTGGTACCGCTGCCAGCAGTTTCTTGAAATCACTCGGCTGTATTGCTTCTTCTACCATTGCAATGTCTAGTGCGTACACGTCAGCTCCAGCGGCGACTGCCCGTTTCATGGTGACGGCATTGACGTGTACCGTTGAAGACTCAGGCGACTGCTAGCGAGGTAGTTCGACCCAGTTACTGCTACTTCGCACAGTGCAGCTACCCATTGTCCAGTCAATTCGCGGGTTACATCGTCGCAGCCAATCACGTCCCAGTAAAATGTCGTGCCTATCCAGTGTCGTCGCGAGCATTTCCCGTGTAAACCCGAAATTCCCCCCGCAGCAGACTTTGACTCTCTCCACCTTTTCCCGTATGGCCACTGGCGTGCCGTCAACTAAGCGTGCATCTATCTCTGGTAAACACCGGCTAAGTGTTTGTTGCAGTTTCTATGCGGTTGCGGTGTTAACTAAACTGTGACTTGCTCCTCCGTCGATAAAAATCTTCACTGCTGCTCCCTGTATTTTCCCGTGGTTCAGTACTGGGCAATCCGTCGTTGTACCCTCCTTATTCGTCCGAGCTCGATCGATAGCATGAATCGGTACTGTGACTCGGTGAGGGTCGGTGGGGTTGGGCGAGCAGGCAGTCTCGTCAGTAGTTGGCCCGAATTTGTCTGCTGGCGTTTCCCTGCCTTGGAGACTCCCTCCCCTGCTCTGCTCCGCGGCGCCTCAGCTCCTCTGGGCACTCACTCTTGCGATGGCTCGGCCTATTGCAAGCAAAGCAGCGCCCCTTAAACGGCGCGGCAGCTGCATTTGTCGCAACGGCATGTACGGTGGCGTGTTCGATCGGTCCCCGAGTGCGATGTCCGTAGTAGGACCCCGGTCTCGGACGGCGCAAAATGTCGATTTTCTCGGCGAGCGCGAGAATCTCGTTGAAATTTGAGAGTCCGCGTAGCATGATTTCGTGCGAGATGTCCGGCTTCAGCCCTCCGACGTAACGGTCCACCCGCTCCGCTTCGTGCGTGTAGCCGACTTCCTCACATAATGCGAGAAAACCGCTCGTGTAGCCTTGGACCGATCCGAGCTGCCGCCAAGTACGCAATTTTTGACGCGCCGAAATAGAAGCCGCGATTGGCTCGAAGCCCGCCCGAAGCCCTGCGCACCACGCATCCGACGTGCTGTACTGGGTGGTTTCGCAAAATGAGCTCCAGGTGACGGCTGGACCTGCGGGCCCTACCTCTTGCGACGGTGGCTCGTAGGCGCGTGGCGACGTCACGATGACTCGCCACCAGTCCATGGCGGGGCCCCTCAGAAGCGAGACGGCGTATCTAATCTTCGCTGCGTCCGACTCGACATAATTTGCGTCGAAGAATACGTTCATCGTGAAGACCCACGACTGAACCGTCGGAACTCCACGCTGGCTCGGGTCAAAACAGGGCGGGCGCTGCGACTTGAGTGGCATTGGCGCCATGATGGCATGGTCGCTGCTTGTCGCCGCAAATTCCACGTGCCGACGGGCTTCGCGAGGCTCCCGCGGGCTTGGCGCGACCCTGTTCCTTTCCATGCCAGGCATCGAGTGGTGTTAGAATTATAGAACAAGGAATGGCTGAACTAGCAAGGAGATGGGTACAAGTAGGAAAACCTAGCAGTGTTGTACCCCATATGGTCTACTCCACTACAGCCTACACATACTATGTCATGTATGTTTGACAAGTGGGCGGCGCCATCACTGGCTGCGCCTGAGCGTTGTCCCACGCTGTCATTCTGTGTCGGTGTGCCTGATGAAATGATGATCGGCCCCTCTGATTGTGCTGGTGCATTTGCAGGTGCGTGTGGTGGCGCTGGAGTATTCACCGTGGATTGCTGACGCGCGGAGTCACGTTCCGCCGTGAGCGTCGCAATTTCAAGCGCCGACTCCTAAACTTGGCCCACGAGACGGTCGAGTTGCTCCTGCGTCAGTGTCGCGAGAGTGAATTCGGCCATGGCGGAGGTGTCGGGCAAGGTCAGCGAGAGCCTCTGTCGTGGCCGTGCGTGCTTCCGAGAGAGCACTACGAGCGGCGGTGCTGTGTCGCTGAGAGACGTCTACCCCCCCAAAAAATTGAGATAGTGGGGAAGCGAAGGTGTGGGTGCGGTCCGAGAAGAGATCGTAGGCTCTGATTACCAAGTGTTACGAGTGCAATTGAGTGATCAAGCGAGAATTGCACTATCGAAGCAAGTGTACAATGAGCGAAGGCATGAGCGAAGAATATAAAGCGAAACTACAGTGGTAACGGTAATGCGTGAAGATGGGGTGCACGACGGGCCTGGCGCCGAGGTTGGGTTTTGCCGAGGCGGAGGTCCGGAGCGCGGGTTACTAACCGAACTGTGAGGTTGGGTCGCGTCGTGAACGGTGACGGAAATAGTGTCGAGGCGAATGTCGCGAGTGGTAACGGTTTACTGTTGGGTGCTGGTGGCAGGAACAGTGGTGTACGCGCTGAGGAGGGACGCGAAGTAAGGAAAATGGAATTTCCTTACATTCTCACTGGAATAGCTCAACGACGGGGGGTCGACGCTCGGTCGACGACCGTCGACCACCGTCGACCAGACCGACGGGCAGGAAAAAACTAAAACCACATTGTATGGCATGCCATCCGAGGGAGGCATCAACCCTTAACACATGCCTCCCTGTGTTTAGGGTTGATGCCTCCCTGACCGGATGCATGCCCGATAGGGTTTTATTTTTTTTTGCCCGCGGGCAGCTATATCAACCAGGCGGACTCGCTTGTCCGTTGAGCTATATCAAGAGGAATACGCCCCTCTCCAACAAGTCTCTTGCATGGAACCACTGACATTCTCCTCACTCCACCTCCACCTCGCAGGAATTCGCGGGGAGAGAGTCGTAATTCCCACGCAATCAGGCCGCTACTGCCGCCTAGCTTCTAACCCAATTATCCTACTTTGTGGCGTCACATTATTACGAATTCGACGATTCGGTTCGCTTACATCCGCTAATCATGGCAGATGATGGCACTGGCGAGTGCCACGTGGCGAAACTTCCACAGGGCCTCCTGTATCTCGTCCTCTCGCGCCTGCCGGGCCGCGACGCTGCGGCGGCCGAATGTGTGCATCCGACGTGGCACGCCACTCTTAACGAATGCGACCTGTGGATCCAGATGGCGAAACGCGATTGGCTTGTGACAGATGAAGAAATCAGAACCGCTGGATTACAGCAGGCGCCTTCGCCAAGTCACACTCAGCGCGAGAATCCGCGACGCGCGGCAAGCGCACGCGGAGAAAGCCCAATTGTGCGCTGCTCCTCCGCCGCTCGAGCTTCCGCCAGTGGTGAATCGCCCAGGGTTTCCGCTCAACATGCAAGACCCGCAGAACCGAATCGATTGTTGGCAAACGCTGAAGCATCTGTCGCTTCCGAATCCGATCCCGCAAAATCGGCGAGGGCGCTTTACGGATCGCACTACTTTTCTTACCGACGCTACGGATCTCTTTACCCCCGCGCGCGTCGCGTCTGGCACGTGCTGCGCACGTGGCTGCGCGCGCATATCCCGGAACTCGACGAGACGCTGCTAGCGGGCGCAACGGAGCAGCAGCTCGACGCGGCGGAAGCTGCGCTGGGGGTGACTTTTCCCCCCGCCGTGCGCGCCTTGTATCGCGTATGCGACGGGCAGATGCCGCGTTACGACAAGATGGTGGTGGAGGTGCGCGGGGAGCAGCGGCGGCGGAGGGGGAGGGGGAGGCGCGCGCGCGGCGGGGATGCGGAGCGGAGGGGGCGCGCGGACCAGGGTACGCGGGAAGAGGGAGAAGAGGGGGGAACGGATAGAACAATGAGAGAAAATGAAGAGGATGGAGAGGCGCGAGCGGGGGACGTAGGAGAGGCGGACAGAGAACGAGGCGGCAGGGAGGAGGAGGACGACAACGAAGAGGAGGGGGAAGCGGAAGAGGAAGAAGAAGAGGAGGATGAGGAGGCGGCAGTGGGGTCGATATTCCACGGGCTGTTGGGCAGCTACAGCTTCTACGACCACTGGGTGAGCACGCGCCTGCTGCCGCTGCGCCGCATCGTGGCCGGCACACTGCAGATCCGCACGCGCGTGGCCGCCACACGCCGCACCACTGCGCTGCTCGCACACGCCCGGGGCGGGCGCGGAGCAGGGGGAAGGGGCGGGGCAGCGGGGGGAGCGGGAGGAGCCGGAGGGGGAGCGGGAGGAGCGGGGTTTGGAGGGAATGAGTGGCCGCAAACGCAGATTCTTATCGGTGCGTCGTTCAACTACTCGAAGCTGTTCTTCCTGGATTGTATCACGGGCATGGTGTCCGTGGGGGGCAGCGATGTGCTGCACGCCTGCACGTTCCTCCCCTGCGTGCCGCCCTCCCACCCGCGCACCTGCCCGAATCCTCTGGCTTCAGAGGTTCCCCTCGCAGTAGCAGACGCGGTGCAGCAAGCGCCGTCTCCTGCATTGCAGGCAGGCGAAGGAGGTGATGGAGCGTCAGCTACTGACGCATCATCTGAGGCACCATCAAGAGTTCCAGGCAGCAGCGACAGCAACGGCAGTGGCAGCAGCAGCAGCAGGGATGGCATGGTGATGTGGCTGGAGGAATACGCATGGAGGCTGGCTAACGGGTGGTACAGGGTACGCACAGTGGTAGATGACATCCCAGCTAGAGGCATCTGCCTGTTCCCCGAGCAGACTCCTCTGTGCTCCATGGCTGTCACCAGAGGGGTGTGTGTGCGCGCCTCTGCTCTCTTCGTGCCGGAAGTGGCGCCGCTGGTGCTGCCACGGCCGTCTGCTGCATTTGATTCCGCCTCTGCTGCTGCTGTTCCTGCTGCTGCTGCTGCTGCTGCTGCTGCTGCTGCTGCTGCTGCTGCTGCTGATGGTGGTGTTCCTGCTGGTGACGCTTCTTCTGGTGGGGGGGATGAGGAGGCAGAGGCTGCGGGTGACCAGAGGGACGGTAGAGGAGGAACAAGAAGGAGGAGGGGTCAGAGAGGCAGGAGGGTGGTTGGAGCAGGGGGGCAGGCAGGAGAGGAAGACGAGGAAGAGGAAGAGGAGGGGGAAGGGCAGAGGTGCTTCGCGTATTCTGTCCGCATGAAGCTGCTTCCTTTAGACCAGCCGCAGGAGGTGCTTCCGAGTTCTATCCCCCATGTCACCATGCTCCCCTCCTCTTCCACGCACGGTTCCGGTTCCCAGACTCGTGCCCAAGCCGCCTCTACTGCTGCCTCACACTCATCAGCATGGGCTGCTCACGCTATGAGCATTGACCACAGCACCGGCCAATCAGAGGGCTCTGCCGGTGACATGTCAGCGTGCCAGCTGCGCTCGCGCCATTGGGTGATCAAGGAGGAAGGGGAGGTGGTGGCGGAGGTGAGGGGGGATGCAGTGGTGGGCGAGTATCCCATTTTGAGGCGCGGAGGCAGTGAGTTTGTGTATCAGAGCTGTTCCCAAATGACTGGGCAGTGGGGAACTATAGAAGGGGATTTTACGTTTGTCCCCGGGGGGCTAATGAGGCCGACCGGAGCGGATTTTGATGCAGCAGTTGCGCCGTTCCCCCTGCAAGTGCCCGACTTCGTTTTTTGATTCAGCTGCGCTGCATAGCCTATCCTTGTTCATTGGCGTGGAAGAGAGGAGCTGTCGCCTTGCCATGATTTGTTTTCTGTACCATACCGTAATTGTTACCTTTTGTTTGTACAGTGCAACCTTTACTTTCTATGAACTGTAAGTGCAGTGTGCCAATGTTAGAGTGTGCAAAAGATTGTAGAGTTCAAATGCTGTTGGAGCAAGTCACTCAGTGATAGTGTGATATCGGGGCGGCTGTTACCGAGGATCCGCACTGCTGTGCTAAGTTTAGTGTTCCGTGATGTTGCCACTTTACCAGCTGCTTTTGATTTCGCCAATATCGCGAATTCGTCGCATTCTAGCAGCTGCCTCATTATGAATTTTGGCTAGTTTTACCCGTTGGAAGCTAGCCAAGGAGCACGAAGCCCAGAAAACCGTTAGCGTGAGAGACAAGGGTTCTCGACGAGCAAGGGACGCAGTGGGTGTTGATGGCCGGGAAAACAATGAGGACTTAGGCTGTTACGTAGTCAGCCGCGGCGATATATCTGTGCGGACCGTTCAGACCCGTTCACAGCCCATGGCTGGCCTGTTTTTGGGATCATGCAGCTTGGAATTTGTGAGCCTGTTGACTTTTCGGAACGAATCCGCTAAATAGCTACGAGATGGACGATTCGGCAAGCATCTCTGTGAGAAACGGCACCAGCAGCGTGTTACCGAGCAGCACTGTTTCCAGCCACGAAAACGGGGAGAAAACCGCGGGGGGAAGACATCGTGAGGCGCAGTGCGAGCCGCTGCTGCAGCGCGCGCGGGAGTGCGAGCAACGGCTGATACGCAGCGCAGGTCTTGTTCTGGCGCGTTCTGCATGCGCCGCGCTGAACCGATCCGCAGCCCTGTGCCTGCTGCGAGCTGCGTGTCCTGGACCCTTGGACAGAGTAGCTGCGGTGTGTGGCTTAGGGGAAGGGAGAGGCATGGGTAGTAGAGGTGGATTAGGTGGTGGAGGTGGTGGGGATGATGGTGGTGCAAGAGTGGGATCCAGAAAGGCATGTGCAGATGCAAAGGAGGCTCTTGCTCTCTGTCTGTCTCAGCAGCAGGAGTTGATAGTCACTCTGCAGGAGGCCAGGAGAACTTCCAATCTGAAGTGAAATTCTTGAAAGGACAGGTTACCCCAGAGCAAGAAGTCACTTGACCCCTGTAAGGAATTTTCCCGAATTCCTTATCGGGGTTGACTGCTTCGCGTACAACCCGATTTTCGGAGTTCGCACGTTCGGCCGATTTCAACGCTGCCGAGGCTCCTCACGTCGCCTTCGGCTTTCCCATCGCCAAACCTGCACCCAACCTCGCTCGTCCGAGGTTTCCTCCTAGCTAGAGTAGTTCTACATTAGTCTGTGCATTCATTGTATTCGCAGTTGATTCAGTCACAGCTTCGTTATTCGTTTACCTGCGCACTCTCTTTTACAACTCATAACACCTGGTATCAGAGCTACTTTCCTAGTTCACCCCGCTTTTCCGAGGGTAGTTTGGTGGCATAGGGTGTGGCTGGTTTAGTGACTACACGACGGTTGGCTGCAGGGATTGTTAATTCAATCCTGCCCGACTCCGATAGTTCGTGTTTTCATTTGCCTGAAGGCCACGGAGACCCGATTGCCCACCAGACGTAGCGTAAGGCATATGGATCAGGAAGCGGTCAACAGGATGATGGCGCAAGTGGCAGAAATGCAGGAAAGCATGAAGACGTTAATAGCGGAAGTGACGACACTGCGAGAGGAAAACGCCGAACTACGCCAGACGCGAGGTGAAGCGCGTCAGGAGTCGCCTGTGGACGAAGGCGAGTGCAACAGTCAGGCGATGAGCAATCCATTGGATGGGCTCACACGTGACTTCGAAGAGGAGGATAGGCAGCGAGCGGCAGCAGCTCCAGTTGCAGTGACAACGATCAAGATCAAGCCCGTCAATCCACCCCCGTTTTATCCTACGGACAAGACGGTTACGGTAAAAGGGTGGTTGTTTGGGGTCGAAGTCTTTTTTACTGCAGCCGGAGTTAATGACGACGCCACGCGTATTAATTACGCAATTTCGCTTCTTCGAGGTGCAGCGCTTAAGTGGTGGCGCCGAACCTTGGAAACAGGGACGCCGACAGGTGTGACACATGCGGCAGACGGGACCTCTACGTTGACTAATCAAGTGGCAACGTCGATCTTCGGAGTGACCACGATACGCACGTGGAAGGAGTGGGGCGCAGCCTTACGAGGTCGCTTCGAGCACGTATCCGCCTCAGAGCAAGCTCGCATGAAGCTGCGTGCATGGTCGCAGATGGCTTCTGTCCAAGACTACACGGCGTCATCTATGAGCCTCGCCGACCAAGTCGATGACATGTCGGAAGCTGAACGGCTGGATAAATACATCAGCGGCCTCAAATACGAGATACAGTACGAGGTTCGCAGGGGCCGTCCGACGTCATATCTTGCAGTAGTACAGTAGGCAGAGTCCACAGATGCGCTGATGCAGTACGCGAGAGCAGCTTCCCGGGAGGGAAACCGTTTTCGTGGCCAGACACATCGGACCACGATCAACGCCGTCCATACACCCGACCGCCCTCCTAAGGGACCGTGTTTCCGGTGTGGGAAGACGGGTCACTACATGAAAGATTGCCACGAGAAAACGCCACTGACGGGGAACGACAGGAAGGAGCAGGGAAATGGGAAGAGTCAGTAATTAGCGGGCCCTTTACTGACTGTGCTCCGTCGCCCGAACCCCACCATCCCCACCGAGTCGTGGTTCCGATTCATGCAATCGATCGCACTCGGCCGAATAACGGGGATAATCACGTGGATCACCCTGTGCTGGTCGCTGGTAAGGTGTTAAAAAATTACCTGAAAATGTTCGTCGATGGAGGGGCATGTCATAGCCTCTTCAATTTGGCGAGCGCAAAAAAATGCAAGCTGCAACTTGACAGGTGTCTGCCCGAAGTCGACGCTCGCCTCGTCGACGGGACGCCTCTGGCGATAACGGAAGAAACACGGACGGTCAGGATCGAATGCTGCGACGATTTCGGCTTCAGCATGAAGTTCCTCGCGACAACATTGGACGGCTGCAACGTACTGCTGGGACGCGATTGGCTGCGACGGCACAACCCCGTCATCGACTGGACAACGGGGACGTGCAGCATCAACAAGCACGAGGGGCTAATTAAGCTCCCTGCATGGACCCCTGACTGCATCCAAGCCCCGTGCGTCAAAGCCATCACTATAGCTCGCCACTTCAACTGAGAAGAAGTGAACAAGAATGGATGAACTATGAATGAAGCGAGTACATATAGGAAACCCTAATTGGGTTGTACCCCCTATGGGATACCCCACTATAGCCTACACAACAGCATAAGCTATAATGTTCTGACACACCCCCATAGGCAAAGTGGGGGAGAACAAGGGGTCACAAGACCAGTCAAGCAAAGCAAAGCAAAGCTCAGGGTGGATCACAAAGTCACCACACATTCCGAGCACAAGTTCAAAGGCAAAAAATGCCAATTCACATGCAAGATCACATATAGAGATATACAAGAGTCAAGCAAGCAAGAGCAAGAGTATATATAGGTGAAGGTACAAGCAAGGTCAAGAAGTGAGCAAGTGAGGCAAGATAGGCACAAGGCCCAGCTGCGTGCAGCAACGCTGATGATCACAAGGCGCAAGTGCCTTGGTGAAGACATCAGCAGTGTTGGCCTCAGAGGCCACGTACGCAAGTCGCAGCTGTCCACGCTGCTGCAGCTCACGAGCAAGAAAGTAGCGGAGAGCAATGTGCTTTGTCCTGTGCTCCAGTCGCTGCTCTCGACACAAGGCCAGCATGGCCTTGTTGTCTACGTACAGGACTCGAGGAGAACGCGGCGGCTCTCCAAGGTCGGTCAGCAGGTAGGTGAGCCAGCGAAGCTCCTGGGCAGCCATGGCCCCGGCGTAGATCTCAGCCTCACAACTGGAGCCGAGAACAGAAGACGAGCGGGTAGCCCGCCACGAAACAGAGCCGGAACCAAGGCTGAAGGTGTAACCCTGTGACGACCGCTGCGTAGCCTGGTCGTCCACCCAAGAAGCGTCTGCGTGCCTAGTGAGGACCACTGGACTCCGCCCTCCAAGCACAAGCCCCATGCCCGATGTACTGCACAAGTAGCGCAACACCCTCTTCGCTGCAGCTATGTGCTCTGGTTGGTGTCTCCCAGGAGCAACATAGCGTGCAAGAATGCTAAGAGGGTATGCAAGGTCAGTTCGAGTGCAGGTCATCAGGTACATGAGGCAGCCAACAAGCTCTGGGTACGGGCCACTCGACTCTACGGACTCATCCGAAGGCAGAGCTGAGAGCGAGTGACGGGTAGGCAGAGGAGTGGCCTGAGGCGAGGAGTACGTGAAGCCGAAGCGCTGAAGGACCTGCTGCACCATGTGTGACTGAGTCAGGGTAATGGTGCGGCGTGCTCTGTCCCGGGTGATCTGCAAGCCAAGGTAGCTGCGCAGTTCACCCCGGTCTATGCACGTGTGTGTCTTCTGCAGCTCGGACTTCACGTAGGCGAGTCCAGCAGTGTCAGCTGTGGCAAAGACCAAGTCGTCGACGTACATGAGGATGTAGAACGGCGGCAGAGAGGTGTCGGTGCGCAGAAACAGCGACGGGTCGGTAGTAGAAGGAGCAAACCCAAGTGCCGCCAGCGTAGTCCTCAGTGTGTCGTGCCACTCACGTGGCGCCTGGCGGAGACCGTAGACTGGACGCCGGAGACTCCACTGGGTACCAGGAGGGAAAGACCCAGTGAAGCCAGGTGGGCGACGCAGCCAGATCTCCTCGTGCAGGCTGCCCTGCAAGAAAGCAGTGCTGAAGTCGAGAGAGTGCAGCTCGTAGTCACGGTGAGCAGCAACGTGCAGTAGTACCCGAAGAGTGGTCATCTTCGGGGTAGGGGAGAAGGTCTGAAAGTAGTCAACTCCCTGCTGCTGACTGAAGCCACGAGCCACGTAACGCGCCTTGAAGACAGGCGGAGAACCCGGCGGCCCCTT